TGTGTACTGTTAATTGCGAAATGTCGAGTGGGCATCTAGATAGAGGGGTTACATTAAACAGTTTCATCAGAGATTGATTTTGTCCTCAGAGTGCTTATCCTTACAGTAGAATAGTTTTTGTAATAATTTTTAACCAATCCCTCTATGGCTTGGTTTTTTGGTTAACCAGAGTTAAGTTGAAATGAGACATATGTAAGAGTGAAAACTACAAAACTTCTCAAAGAAAACAGAAAGAGACTTTGTGATCTTCATTAGGCTTTTATTCTGTCGAGAAGTGGGCTACACATTGAGCTGCTAACCACAAGGTCAGAAGTTTGAACCCACCAGCCACTTCCTGGAAGAAAGCTGAGGCTGTCTAATCCCATAAAGATTTAAAGGCTCAGAAATCTAAAGGGGCAGTTCGGCCTTTTCCTATATGGTTCCTATGAGTCAATATGGGCTTAATGGCAGTGAGGCATTTTTTTAAGGTAGACACAAAAATTATAAACCATAGAAATATTGATATATTAGATTTCATCCGAATTAATTTCTGCATTTTGATAAACACTGCTATGACAAACCATAGGTAGAGAGAAAATATAAGCAGAATACATAAACTGATAAAGGACTTTTGTCAGATATATCTTAGAAATAATTCAAGTTTGGTTCCAAACCACAGCAATACAGCAAATATTCTGGTTTCCCAGTGCATATCCCTTGCAGAAGGGCTGCGGGGAGGAGAGGAGCAAATCAGAGTGCAGTATAGCAATGATGAAATATGCAATTTTCCTCTAGTTCTTAAATGCTTCCTCCCCCCCACTACCATGATCCAAATTCTACCTTACATATCTGGCTGAACCAGAGGATGTACACTGGCACAGATAGGAACTGGAAATACAGTGAACCCAGGACAGATGAACCCCCCAGGGCCAGTGGAGAGAGTGGCGATGGTGGGAGGGTGGAGGGAAGGTGAGGGAGAAAGGGAGAACAGATGACAAGGTCTACATATGGCCTCCTCCCTGGGGGACGGACAGCAGAGAAGTGGGTGAGGGAGACGTTGGATGGGTTAAGATAAGATAAAATAATAATAATTTATAAATTATCAAGGGGAAGGGGGAAGGGGGGAGCAGGGAGGGAGGGGAAAAAATGAGCTGACACCAAGGGCTCAAGTGGAAAGCAGGTGTTGTGAGAATGATGAAGTCAACACATGTACTAATGTGCTGGACACAAATGATGTATGTACTGGTTGTGATGAGTTGTATGAGCCCCTAATAAAATGATTATTTTTTAAAAGTTATGTTTATATTATACTGTAGTTTATAGAGAATACAATGCATTTTGAAAAAGTTTGAAGCATTACAGATAAAAAGTAAACCAAAACAGACACAAAAACAATACAACTCACTGCTATGAAGTCAATTCTGACTCATTACGATTCTACTGGGCAGAGTAGAACTATTCCTGTGGGTTTCGGAGATTGTAACTCTTTACAGGAGTAGAAAGTATCATTTTTCTCCCAAGGAGGGGCCGGTGGTTTCAAACTACTGATTGTATAGTTAGCAGCTCAATACATGATGTCAACCTGCTTGCCAGGGTTGCCACAAGCCTTCCATTTTTAACAAACACAGTATCTGTGAAGCACAATGCAGCAATACAACAAGGCATGTCTGTGTAAAGAATAGATAAGGAATTCTTCATGCATTCTCATTGCTATTGAGTTTATTCCAGCTCGAGGGATTCTATAGGGCAGAGTGGTACTGCTCCTTAAGGTTCTTAAGACTAAAAATCTTTACAGGATCAGCGACCCGTATTCTTTTCCCCATGGAGAAGCTGGTGAGTTTCAATCATAACCTTGGGGCTAGCAGTCCAGTGCTTAACCCACTATGCCACTGACTCCCACGAAGTCCATACTGATTCATAGGGTCCCTTTCCGGCAGTGGTTCTCAACCTTCCTAATGCTGCGACCCTTTAAGACAGTTCCTCATGTTGTGGTGACCCTCTCCCCGCAACAATAAAATTATTTTCGTTGCTATTTCATACCTGTAATTTTGCTACTGTTATGAATTGGGCGACCCCTGTGAAAGGTCATTCGCCCCCCCCAAAGGGGTCACAACCCCCAGGTTGAGAACCACTGCTATAAGACAAGGTAGAAGTGCCCCTGTGAGTTCAAAGATTGTAACTCTTTATGGGAGTAGAAAACCGCCTCTTTTTCCCAGTAAGCGTCTGGTGGTTTTGAACTGCTGAGCTTGCAGTTAGCAGCCCAGTATGTAACCATTCACCATTGGGGCTCCTACTGAATCACTATTGTTCCTTAAAGTAATCTTTTTTTTTTAAATCACCATCAGAATTGAGTTCTTTATTTTAAATTTTTTAAATCATTTTATTGGGGGCTCGGACAACTCTTATCACAATCCACACATACATCCATTGTGTCAAGCACCTTTGTACATTTGCTTCCTTCATTATTCTCAAAACATTTGCTTTCTACTTTAGCCCTTGGTATCAATCAGCTCATTTATCCCTTCCCTCTCCACGTCCCCTCCCTCACGAACCCTTGAATATTTATAAATTATTATTATTATTTTGTCATATCTTACACAGTCCAACATCTCCCTTCACCCACTTTTCTGTTGTCCGCCTCCCAGGGAGATTATATGTAGATTCTTGTCATCTGTTCCCCCTTTCTCCCCAACCCTCCCTCCACCCTCCCAGAATCACTACTCCAGTAGGCAACTGGACATCCCCTTACGGAAGAATAGCGGGGAGGAGATGAGCCAGTCAGGGTGCAGTGTAGCAACGATGAAATATACAACTTTCCTCTACCTCTTAAATGTTTCCTCCCCACTATCATGATTCCAATTCTACCTTACAAATCCCCCTAGACCAGAGTATGTACATTGGTACAGATAGGAACTGGTAACACAGGGAATCCTGAAAGGACTCATAATAAGAAAAGCGATCTAAAACCCCTCACCCCCAGGTGAAGTGTCTCAGTGTTTAACAGCCAAAGGTGACTTTCTTCCTTACCCATCTGCATGTCATTTTTTTTCCTACTCTCCATCCTCTATCCCCTCTAACTCCTGGTGGCCACTAAACTCCTTTTGTCTCAATAGCTTTGTCTATTCGATTTCACATAAATTGGATCATACAATATTTATTCTTTTGCATCTGATTTTGCATGTTTTCAAAAAGTAGCAAGAGACTGTGAGAATGTTAAAAAATAAAACTTCAGGAAGTCAAAATAACAAAAATAGCACATATGATCATCTTTTAATTGTGAAAATGGATATTCTTCAACTGTTATAAGAATCCTAAACAGAGTATAATAGAAAGTAAGAATTCAGATATTTCTACAAGTACTTAAAAGTTACTAACACTATATAGAAATGAAACTCGTACTTTCAACAAACTATAAAAATGATGCAACTTTTTCTGGCTTTAAAATTTAGATAAGCAATTGACATAAAGCTTAACTCTAGAAACTAAGGCAAGAGTAGATTTTCTAAGAAAGATTAAGTTAGTTTCAGAAAGATAAAGTTTCAGTTAAGAAAGCATGGATCCAAAGTTTGGTAAGCTTCATGGGTTTTCAGAAGTGAAGATAGCTGATACCAATGACTGACAGCCAGTAAGGGTATCAGCAGAGCCCTGGTGATGTAGTGGTTACTCTTTGGGCTGCGATCCTAATGCTCAGCAGTTTGAAACCACCAGCTGCCTCTCAGTAGAAAGACTCTACCCACAGGTAAATAGTTACAGCTTTGGAAATCCACAAGGGGGTCACTCTGAGTCAACATTCACTCAATAGCATGCTCACTCATTGAGTGAGAAGGGTGACAGGCATTTTCACAGCTGGTAAAACAGACTTTTAACCATTAAACCATCTATTCTGCGATTCTTTTCCCTCTTCCATGCTTTGTTGACATTATTGCTAGGTACCATCGAGATGGTTCTGACTCACAGGGACCCTATGTACAACAGAAGGTAACATCACCTAGTCCTGTGCTAGCCTCAAAATTGTTGTTTGAGTTCACTGTTACAGTCACTGTGCCAAGCCATTTTGAGGATAGCCTTCATCTTTTTCACTGCCCCTCTACTTTAGAAAGTAGGCTCGCAAAGTCTTACTTAAATTACATTAACCAAAGCCAACAGGAAGCAAAGGAAAAATGTCAGAAACTGGAACTGAAGTGCTATGTCATCAACAGAAGGCCAGAATCCTGTTCAGAGTCTGGCAAGAATGCTCTATGAAATTCTTTTAAGTGCTTCAGGAGAAGATGCCCCAAACAGCCAAGACTTCCCATATTTGGCATTGTGCTACTTGAAAACCAGGCTAAGCTTGGCTGAAGAGTTCACCTCCCTCCTGTTCCAAAGAGAAGTCATTGGGTGAAACAGAAGACCTGGGACTTTGTGTATTTTACACTTGGGAGACTATATATTGGGTGGGCAAAGTTGATTGCCTCCTCTGAGTACCGGGGCTGGAACTTTGGCAGGTTAGCAAAGAGAAACAGATATGACAGAATGAATGAACCTTTGAGATAGGAGACTTAACACAGGGAAATCAAAGTTAAATAAGCAGTTGATCAGAGATTGAATATGGTGACCTTCCTCCTTTTAGGGAATATTCAAGATAGGTTCATCTTGAGTATCAGTTTAATATTCTTAGACTTATATTAAAAATACTACATGAATTTGACAAGAGAAGACATTTCCAGATGGAAAACTGATACAGGGAAACGTTGGTCAGGGTTAACAATGAGGAAGTTCATACCAAAAAACCCATCAGCAACAACAAAATAAAACACAGGCAAATTTCAATCCAAAAGAAAGCAGAAAATAATAAAAATTGAAACCAGTTAAAAATGGGTCAGGGAAAAAAATGGTAAGATGTTAAAATGTTAGCCAACTCTATATGCAATAATCCATTTTCAATATACTCTATCTGAGGACAAAACTATATATCTGGTTAATGGTCCAAGGGAGTTCAATGTAAGCTTAATCTATGTGGAAAGTCTACAAATGGGTTTTGGAAAAATATGGAAAGCTTCATGAATTTGCATATCATCCTGGCTCAGGGGCCATGCTAATCTCCTCTGGATCATTCCAATTCCAGTATGTATGCTGTTAAAGTGAGCATACAGAAGGATTTTAAATTATTTGCTTATTTTGTAATTTCATTATTCATGAATTTTAGATATGAAATCTATTGATTTCTGTAGACCCAGAGAATCATAAACTCAAATACTTTAAATCCAACCTGACTGCAAAAATATTTCTGAAGAGTAAACAGTTCCAGTTAGCATTTTCTTTTAATACTTTTATTGGAGGCTCTCACAATCCATACATTCATCCAGTGTGTCAAGCACATTTGCACATATGCCACCATCATCATTTTCTTTTTTTTTTTTTCCGCCATCATCATTTTCAAAGCGTTCTCTTCCCACTTGAACCCCTGATATCAGCTCCCCATTTCTTCCCCCTCCCTCCCCTGCCTGCCCTCCCTCATGAACCCTTGATAAGTTATAGATTATTATTTCCATATCTCACATCGTCCTGTCACCCCTCACCCACTTTTCCGTTATTCATCCCTCTGGGAGGGGGTTCTGGATTGATCCTTGTGATCAATTCCCCATTTCTCCACCCACCCTCCCCTAATCCTCCTGATATCTCTGCTCTCATTGTTGGCCCTGTGGGATTTAGCTATCCTGGATTCCCTGTTTTGCGGGTTCTTAAGTGTAGCAGTGTGCATGCGCTGGTCTAATCCAATTTGTAAGGTAGAATCGTGGTCATGATAGTTGGGTGAAGGAAGCACCAACGAACTAGAGAAAAGTTGTGTGTTTCATCGGTGCTATACTGTACCCTGACTGACTCATCTCTTCCCTGTGACCCCTCTGTGAGGGGATGTCCAATTGTCTACAGATGGACATTGGGTCTCTACTCCATACCTCCCTACCCCATTCACCTTGGGTATGGTTTTGTTCTGGGTCTTAGATGCCTGATACCTGACCCCATTGACACCTCATGATCACACAGGCTAGTGTGATTCTTCCACGTGGGCTTTGTTGCTTCTCAGCTAGATGGCCACTTGCTTATCTTCAAGACTTTAAGACCCCAAGCGCTGTATCTTTTGATAGCCAGGCACCATCAGCTTTCTTCACCACATTAGTTTATGCACCCATTCTGTCTTCAGCAATCGTGTTGGAAAGGTTAACATCACAGAATGCCAGATTGTTAGAACAAAGTGTTCTTGTGTTAAGGGAGTACTTGAGTCGAGGCCCAATGTCCATCTGCATCCTTAATTCTTAATAAAGATATATATATATATATATACATAGTTCTATTCCCCTCCCGTTTTATGTGTGTGTGTGTGTGTATGTGTGTGTGTGTGCGTGCGCGTGTGTGCACGCATGCGCGCCTATATTTAGGCCTCGAGACCAATGGTTCTGGGGGAATATGGGATAAGGGGAGGTGGGAGAAAGGGAGTGGCAGGGAATCAACCCAGGGACAAGGGAACAACAAGTGAACTTTAATCAATGGAAGGAAGGTCATAGGATGCCTAGTGGGGCTTAATCAACGGCAATGTAGCAGCGAGGAATTACTAAATCCGAATGGAGGTTGAACATGATGGTGGGACAACAGTATTTTTTAATGGAGAACTTTAACATAAATGACATGGAGGCCATATCTGACCTTTTATGGCTACACAGGGAGAAGGAGAAGCTATTTCCACACAAACCCAAGACTGGTTGCCACAAGGTAGAGTCAGACAAGCCTCCACACACCATCCTCCTTTACCCTGGTCCTCTCATGACAGTCTACTTTTCTGCTGGGCTCAATAATTTGTTGTAATGACCACCAAGAACTCACAGATATTACTCACAATTAAGAGGGCTTCTTAGGGAGTTTAAATAACCACAAACTAGGATCAGAAGATAGTAATGATATAGCCAGTAGTACACAGCAACATCTCTCCTCGGCCAGCAGTCAACTCTCTCTCGATTCCTCAGTCCCTCAGCCATGCGCCAGGAAGGCAGCCCACTACTCTGCCTTACAGTCTCAAAGTCTCGGCACTGTTCTAGCTTTCTATCTCATAGTTCTTTGCCTCCACCTCTGGTTCCTTTCCCTGTCCATGATCTCCATACCACAGACTCTGGTGCTTCTGGTCTCAGCTCCTACCACTTCAGACAGAGCCCTCAAACATGTTCCTCTTGTGGTTCTTACACACAGAGGAATGGTTTTAGTAGAAGTATGGTTTATGACTTTCAGGAGACCATATCTCCAAAGAAACAAAGAGTGGTGACTTGGTTTACCCGCTCTAGTAAGGTGGACACTAAGAATACATCCCACCTTAATCCTGTGCATTAGCCTAACAGAGAACTCCTTCCAAAACAGGATTATACCCATAAGTGTAGAAGCCAGAATTTATAATATATTGCACAAGGATTATGTCCAGATGGGCTAACTGACAACACCTTCACCCTACCAGAATAGGAAAATGGTTTTTTAATGCTCCTAGTAGGAGTTTTATCAAAGCCACGGTTGATAAAGGATGAAAGAATGAAAGAGTGAAATAGATTTATATGGCTTTAATTATAGTTAAAACAAATGCCGAATTATTTTGTATTATAATAGTTTAGCATCTAAGTTGTTTATAAATGACTTGTTGAAATACTAAAAGTTTTATTATAGTTGCAAGGACATGTAAGTTTGAGACTAAAGTGTCAGAGAAAATTGCATTGGTTTAAATGTGTCTAGAAAATTGTACCTATTCACGAATACATGCAAATCTATGTGTGCTACAGGAAGTTTTTTTTAAACATCCTGATAATTTATTCACAATGACTGCATTGATCATACTCTAATACATACTCTACTACAACCCAGTTTATGTAAAAAGGCTGTATAGATTCTCATAAAATTAGGAACATGAGTAAAGGAACGTTTCCTCTCTGCAAATAAAATAAAATGCCTGACTTGAAAACACACTACAGAATCCTGATTTCTCACTATATCCCACTATGAAAAAAAAGACTGGCTTCCCACTAGAAAAGATTTGGCTCACTTCTAGAATCTTCTGCCCAAAGACGGCAGTTACATGAATAATTTCACAACCGCTTACATTTGTACCTCAGGGAATATATTTAAGCCTCTGGTTCTAGTCCCTTAAGGTACAGCTCACTGCTTCGTAACTTCGTTTGGCAAACTTCAAACCAAAACAACCTCTGATATCTAGGTTTCATCCTCAAGGATCTTGATTTTATTGGTATGTGGTGCCACGTGGGCAATGAGATTTTGGAAGCATTTCAGGAGACTTTCAAACCCAATAAAGTTTGAGAGCAGGTATGTAGATTGAGAATTCCTATGGTACTGTTATTCCTGTGCCTTCAATGGTGGTTGTAGGATAGGGTTGTCAGGTTTTTGCCATTAAGGAAGTGGGTGTGGTAGACACTTCCAAAACCATGTGTTATGGATCATAAGGGCAAAGAGAGAAAGACTGTATTTTAGAACTCAGACATGACCAGCTGTTGCTTGGGCCAACATTCAAACGTAGTAACGATGTTGAGCAACTTTTCCTTGTGTGCTTATTCTCCATTCACATATCTTCTTTGGTGAATTGTCTATTCAAATCTTTTTGCCATTTTTTTTACATTGGGTCGTCTTTCTTATTAAGTCAAAAGAAAGATTCTTTATATACTGTTTTAAAGTTCTTTTTAAGAAATATAAGGTTTGTAAATATGTTCTCTCAATCTGTGGCATGTCATTTTACTTTTAAGCTAATACAGGATAAAATAGGTATGGAGACTGGAGGTGGAAGAAGTGGAAGTATCATCTCCTTACAACCCTATTCCTCCAATGTGTGCAAGGACTGAAAGGAAAGACTTTTTTAAAAAAAGAATTGACTTTATAGCCAATGTATGGAAGTCTTAATTCTTGTCCCAGAATAGAATCTAAACTTTATCAAATTAAAAATGTGAAAATAAGAGGAGAGCGGACTGAGGTTAAGGGAGACAAAGAAGATATATGAATGGAAAATGCACATATACAAAAAAAAGTTGCTCAACATCATGAGTAAGGTCATGCAAATTAAAAACAACACAAAATACTACTATATAGCCATTATTATGGCTATAATAAAAAAGACTAACAATACCAAGTGTTGGTGAGGGCATGGTGAACATGAAGCTCCCATTCATTGCCACTGGGAATGTAAAACGATGTTCCCACTTAGAAAACCATGTGGCAGTTTCTTAAAAGTTAAACAGATGCTAACCAGATAACCAAACTCACACTTAGGTACGCATACAAGAGAACTGAAAATGTATGCTCACAGGAAGACTTGTACTTAAATGTTTGGATCAGGACTATCCATAATAGTCCCAATCTGGATATAACACATCGTCCATCAACTGGTGAATTCATAAATAAATATGATCTAACTATATAATGGAATGGAATACTACAGAGTTTGAAAAGGAGAAAACACGTGACTTACATAACAACATGAAGAAAACTGGAAAAGATTATGTTAAATGAAAGATGGAAGATAAAGCACTATGTAGTAGATTATTTCATTTATATGAAACGTCTAGAAAAAGTCAAGTATAAAGGACACAAAGCAGATCAGTGGTTCCTGGCTTTGTGGTTGAGAGCAAAGAATGACTGAAAATCTTCTGGGATGATGTAAATGTTCTAAAACAGAGGTCTAGTAATGACTGACTGCACTACTCTATAATCTTACCAACTCATCAAACTGTACATCTATGTATTAATTTTTGGTATATAAATTATACAACAGTAAATATTTTTAAAGCTAAATCAGAAAGTGAGAAGAAAGTGTAATGTCATAAAAGCCAGAGGAGAATTATTTTTAAAAAGAGTTTACAGTATGTTGATAGTTCAATTAAAATGAGAAATGAGCAATCCTCACTGCAGTTAGCCATATGGTGATCATTAGTAGCCTTAATAAGGGCAATTTTGGTGGTATAGTTAGGGTGAAAACCCAATAAAATTGTGTCTTTGTTTCCTAGTGCTGGTGTAATACAAAAACACCAGTGGGTGGATTTCATGAATAGAAATTGTGGGTGCTGGGCTCTAGGGGAAGATGCTGTCTCTTTCAGTTTCTGGTCTATAGTTTCT